CTCTGTGTGTGTGTGTGTGTGTGTGTGTGTGTGTGTGTGTGTGTGTGTGTGTGTGTGTGTGTGTGTGTGTGTGTGTGTGTGTGTGTGTGTGTGTGTGTGTGTGTGTGTGACAGCTGCTGAAACAGGAAGCGTGATAAGCCTCAGCTGTGTGTCTGTTGATAGCATGTGCTTCTATGTTTATTTGACAATTCGGAAAAAATATTTAATTTTTACTTTTTCACTGACATTGCGATTAGAGGGAATACATAATTGTGGCGTCATTATTCTCAATATTATCAAAAATATATATTAAAATGTACATGATAACACATAAATTAAGGAGCTATAAAACCTTTAAAAAATATTGCGTTAAAAATAAATGTAAAATGAATGAATTTGAACTCAAGAATAATAAATGGAAGAAAACATAATTGGAAAACTAGGGGAAAGAGAGTCACACACTTCCAAGTTAAAACATCAAACAGGTTCCCAACCAATCTCAGAGAAAACATTGGATTTTCTCTGAGATTAAATGTTTATTTCAAACTAAAACAGAAGAACCAGGGCTTTCCTCGTTAAGGGACATTAACTTAAATGATGCTGAGTTATTTTAATTATTTACTTTTAACTATTTGATTACTGTGTCGGACAAAACAATGAATAAAACATGATGGTGCAGAAATAAAGAGGAAACAGTGACTCGTGATTCGTAGTGTTTCGCTGACAGTTTATTGCCGCCATGTTTCTGCAGGTAGAGCCTGAGATTGATCCTGATACAACAACAGACAGAAAACAAACTCTCAACCAATGGGAGGAGGGCTAGACCGTGATGTCATCGAGTCCTGAAGGATTCTGAGGTTGTGATTGGATAAGGCCCCCTCCTCCTCCTCCTCTTCAAACCGCCCAAAGAATAATAAAAACTAAACAGACGATTGAAGAAAAATCAGATTTATAACGTGATGCACACTTTAGATTATGATTCTAAATTAACCCGGAAATACACACACTCACACACACATGGACGTCCAACACACACACACTTGCATGAGGGCGAAGAAGCTCCCTTGAGCAGCAACAGAACCCGATATTAAAGACACCTTTTTATACTAAACGATAGTTGTATTAATAACAGTGACAGTGACGTCACGAAGCACATGTAGGCGGGGTTAAAATACAGGAAGTAAATGAGTAAACAAAGAAAACAGCCAATCAGAAAAGCCCAAGCTGGAAAGAAAAAAAGAAAAATCTTAAAAAAGGAAATCTCCCATCATGCCCGGCGGTGGCAGCAGGTAATAATCGAGATTGTCCTGTGATTGGTTGATTCCAGAGACATGCTTCTCCGGCCAATCACAATCACTTCCTGTGTTTTTGTCATCACCTTGTAAAAAATAAAGAAAGGTCTTAAAGTCACGGAGCGCAATTAAGCTCCCCTCGTCATCTCTCCCACAATGCATTGCTCTGTGTGGGACGGGGTTCAGGCAGTGCCGAAAACTCCCAGCTGACAGTAAATGCGTCATCATTCATGGAGGGTAAAAAAAACCTCAAAGCTGCATTCAAGGACATTTGGGAAGTTGGAAATATGCGGTTGTTTATATAACTTCAAAATTTTTTATCGTCCCAAAAATAAATCTCACGCTATATTAAAAATGACTTCCTGTTGGGTTTAAGGCGTGGTCCCAAGAGTCTTTTTTGTAAGTCTACATGTGAAACACCTGCCTTCGAAACTTCGTACATTTAAGATAAACGTACCACGAGGGCTGCTTCGTTTAACCCAAGCGTACTTCAGCACTTTAAGGCCACGTTTCTTCGTAAGCCTCTCTTTTTTGATAATTGTATATAATTTGACTGTAAATCTTTATTTTATAGCCACCACACTTTATAGAAACTTGTTTTCTTTTGCTATTTCCTGATAATTCAAACTAAATGACTTGATTAATGATGTTAAGAGTATGACCGTATGATGACAAAATTGCTTTTAAAGTGAAATTGAATGCAAAGTAAAATTGAGAAAAAAGCCACACATTCCCAACTTCCCAACGTCTCCTGAAGGCAGCCGTTTATTCCTCGTCCTTCACGGACATTATAACTTTTTTAATCGTCGTTTTTGATTGTAAAATTACACAGAACATGTAACTTCAAACACAAAGTCTCTTTTCCTTCTGTCTCAAACTACATTTCCCAGAGTTCCTTGCTCACACGGGCCTCGCATAATCCATCTCCCATGTCTGTTAAATAAGTCACATCACTTACATTTCCCACGATTGCCAGAGACAGTGAACGTGACATATTGAACACATTTATATAATATATGTCGCAGCCCGTTTTAAAATAGATTCTTTATAAAAACAAACTTCAAATATACACACAACGCTTTAAAAACATCCAACATGTGAGTTCACTTCTTCTGTTTCCTTACACCGTCCATTAAAACCATCTGTCTGTCTGTCTTTATAACCGTCTGTCTGTCTTTATAACCGTCTGTCTGTCTTTATAACCGTCTGTCTGTCGCAGCTCTCTTTGGTTTATAGCACTTAGCTACGCATTATTCAGGTGCACAAGGGAGAAACAGGAACTACGAGCTTCAATAATCAGATTTCCGTCTTCAAAACCAGATTTTAATGGAGTTTATTACGGCTAGCTAACACTGTAGCTTTTAAACGTAGGTATTTTTTAATCTGAAAAACGTTCCATTTTATGAAGTCTTAGAATCTGTAATTTCCCGTCCACCATGAATGCTGCTTTGGCTAGGCTAAGCTAATACTTTCCCTTCCCTCTACTTATTGCTCAGGCTAGCTTGCTAACCCGAGCTAACGAAAACCTCTCTGGCTGTATCGAGGTAACAGCGGCGAACAGAGAGGAGCTCATTCAACTCAGAGAAAAACAAACCAACGTACTTCATCTTTAAGTACAAAAACACAAAAACAGGAGACTTCAAGGCACTGTTTTAAAAAACGGCTTATCATCAGCGCAGCAATTCATAAAATCTGATAACTTCCTTTCTGTTTGAGAGCATGACAAACAGCAACAAAAAACAAGAGCTAACGCATGCTAACGTAGAAGCTAGCAGGGTTAGTGTATGTTCCCAGGGTCCTGTGTTCCCTAGCTTAGTGTCTTTTTACGCCTTTCTTTAGAAGTCCACATCTCCAAAACAGCTGAACGAGATGTTACCGTTCAAACTGCATTTTAAACGTCACTTTTTCATAATTTGTCTGACATTTTAACGGCAAAGTTTGCAGTTAGCAAACTCTTAAAATGTCAGTTTATAACAAGAACACATAACCCAGGGAACAACTCTCCTAGCAGCAAGCCACACACACACAGCCACAAACAGCCACACACACACACACACACACACACACACACACAGCCACACAGCCACACACACACAAACAGCCACAAACACAAACACACACACACGCATACACACGCACACATACGCACACA